AGGACGGGGATGCTGGCTGTACTGGGAACACTGGCTGTACTGGGAACACTGGCTGTACTGGGGGACGCCGGTGTGCCGCAGTCCCAGCGCTGCAGCCATCCCGTACCCTGCTCTCCTTCAGCTCCAGCAGGAGGGCGTTTAATGAGGTTTTGCAGCCCCGGTTATGTAGAGCTGGCAGCAGGGGAGGGGACCCAGTAACACACATCCTCATCTCGCCCCGGGCTGCGCTCGCTGGTGATTCCTGCAAGGCACCGGGCAGGGATGGGGGGGACAGGGACGGTTTGCAGGCATCACAGAGGTGACCCCATCACTCGGCACAGGCTGGAGCATCCCCGAAGCCAGGGGACGATGGTTTTTCAGTGCCAGTTGCCCCACTGGTGGAGGAAGCTGTGCCCTCACCTCTGAGGGATGCCTGAAACCAGAGGTGGCTCCGGTCACGAACCCACGCCCGGGATGCCCCCTGGGTCTGGGTGTGCTTTGGGCTGAAACCCCAGCATTTGAGCACTTTGTCGCTCTGCGTGTTTCATCCTGACAGCGTTCCCAAGCCTAATCTCCCCAAATCCAAGCTGCTGGTGCTTGCATTTGCTCTCCTCACCTCCGGCGTGGTGACTCCTCGCTGCTTTGCCCCACGCGTGCTGCAGCTGGAGGCGCACAGCGGCGGCTCGGTCCCCGAGAGCTTGGGTTACAAACGGAAAGCTCGGCTGGCGAGGGCTTACGTGTGCTGGAAACTGCGAGCTAGAGCAAGCCTGCTCCTATCGGCTTGGCTCCCAACCGGGCTGCTTTCACAGAGCCAACGCGATCTTTCCAGGGAAGCTGGGAGGGTGGCTTCTAGGGTTTGGACTCGCAGCCTGAGCCCAGCTCGGTGTTTTAACCCCCCCGCCGTCCTTTCAGCTCTCTCCAGTTTGTGTTTTTGCTCGTGCCGAGCCCCCAGTTGTCACAGGAGCCACAAAAGCGCTCAGCGACTCGGCAGGACCTGAAGCTCTTTGTGGCTTCTCCTCTTTTCTTGCTTGGTAGTTGGGAAAATTGCTGCTTGTAGGGGCCGAGCCCGCGTTTCGTGTTTTGGGAGTCCCCAGAGGCTTTCCAAAGGTCAGCGTGCTGCTTCAGTTCCTCTGTTTCTGTAGCTGGTGTTTTCCCAGTGTCCGTTATAATTTCGTTAATGTGCTTTTCCTGTGCAGATGTTGTCAAGAAAAAAAATAAAATAAAATAAAATCACGGAGAGCTTGACCTTGCCCTGGCACAGAGTCCAGGGAATGGAAACTCAAACTCAGCCTATATATTTTTTTTCCTATTCCCCCGCTTCTCTGTTTTCCTTGGAGAAGGAGCGCTGACCATTTTCCACCTCTGTTCAGAGGAACATTTGGGTCCTTCCAGCACAGCTGGATTGGAAACCCTGTGCCTTTGGGGATCCGTGCGTGTCTCATCTTTCCCCTCCTCTCCTGGTTGCCCTGTACCCGCACACGGTGCCCCTCGGGGAGGCGTTTGGGGTTCCTGGGCAGCTCAGGGGCTTTAACCCTATTTCTTGCCGCAGGTGCTCCAGTGGGTTCGACCGACACCGCGAGGAGTGGCTGTCCTACGGCTGTGGCCAGCAGGTAAGGCTCTCAGCTCCACTTGTCCCATCCTGGAATTGGGGCATCCCAAGAGAGTCATAGACGTTCCCGTTCCAGCAGGGCATCAATGGGGATGTCTCCTCCCTACCCATTGGGGTATCAGTAGGGACATCTCATCCCTGGGGCAGCCAAAAGGTGTCCCAGTCACACCAGCACCACTCCTCGCCTTGCTGGTTGGTGCTGGGTGCTCGGAGACCCCCCCCCAGGATAACGCCCGGTGCAGCCGGAGCTCTCCGGGATCGTTTTTCTTCGCCTTCTGCAGTGGGACTCTTGCTCCCTCTGAAGCGTGAAGAAATTAATCCTTGGGATTTTTTTTTTATTTATTTATTTTTCCGTCCTTGTTAGCACAACTGCCTCCACGTTGGATGAGCTCCTTTCTTTGTCTCAGAGCGAGATCAGCTCGAACAAAACATCTGTTTCTGCTTTGGGGCTTTGTTGTTTTGGTTTGCTTTTTTTTTTTTTTCTTTTTTTTTTTTTTCTCCCCGCTGAAAACTCATCTTTGTTCCCTGTTTACCGAGAGGGCTGAGCGAGGGAAAAGAAGGTCAGCGGCCCGCTCCCCGTGTCCTGGGGTGCGAGGAGGTCAGACCGTGGGACCTTGCCATTGCCACCCCCTAACTCAGCGCTCCCCAAACTCTTCCTCCTGCTCTCCGGCCCCTTCCCCTCCAGTTCTGACACCCCGCACCACGTCCCCTTGTCCCACACCGGTATCCAAAGCCCAACCAGCCTTAGGGCTGGGGAGCCCAGACCTTACCGCTGGTACCCTCATGGGGGAGGATTTCTAGGGCCCCCAGGCGCTCCGTTTCCCTTTCAGTCCGACGAGAAGAGCTGCGAGGATTTGGCAGAGGACGACCACTACTCGGCCCCCCCCAGCAGCTCGCTCTCACCGCCGGGGGAGGACGTGGCCACCTCCACCTCCTCGCTCTTCGTTGATGGCCTCACGACGGAAGGTACGGGGTGAACCCCTATGGCACGGACACCCCATCCCCGGGTTCCTCCATCCTCGTAGAGCCAGGCTACATCCACCCAAATCCCCTAAGGAGGCGTTTGTCCGAGCAAGGGGGGGGACAGAAGTGCAGAGGTGGGTGCTGGTGGCGATGGGATGGGGAAGGAGCAGCCCAGGAGGCGAGACCCCAATGGGGAAAGCGATGGGGCAGCCCCCACGCAGCGTTACGGGTGCGCCACTGCCTTTTTGTGCTCCGGCAAGGTCTGAGGAGGTGACAGACCAAAGCGTGAGCCCCCGGTGGTTGGGGTCCCAGCACCATAACGGGGGTTAATGCTGCATACGGGGGGGGTCTGGCTCACGTTTTTGATGTGCCTGGTTCTCGCTCAGGGCTGGCAGAGCTGCCAGCCTGGCAGTGGCACAGCAGTGATGTCTGATTGCCCCCTGCTCACGTCCCAGCATAGGAAGGCTCCAAATAAAGCCCCCGTCCTCCCCCCCCCGGGACACCCCTGTTCTGAAGCTTGCTAATCCTATTAACGCAGGGCTCGCTCCTCGGGTCCTAGCGGCAGGTAGCGCTTCAATTTCGCTGCTTAATAGTCCCTAACGCAAACTGCTAATTAGAATAAATAGAAAGGAACATTAGTAATTGTCCTTCAGCGATGGGAAGGAGCTGGCAGGGGGAGCGGAGCGCCTGGCTGACGGGGCTGACTTTGAAAGGAGCAATTAAGGGAAGGGGGAGCGCGACACCACCGCGGAGATTATTTCCCAACTCATCGCCAATTCTTGGAAAAAGAACAAGAGGCTTTCTGTGACGTAGTCGAGCATGAAGTTAATTTGTAATCTTGGAAGGAGACAAACAGCCAGCTGCACCGGGCAGCGAACTTTTAGCTGGAGCAGCGCGGCGAAGGCAGAAGCCAAGTGGAGAGGCGTGGGTCCACCCCTCGAGGCCATCCCCATGTGTGCTGGGGATGCTCGTGGCCGTGCCTCGTGGCCCTGCCTCGTGGCCGTGCCTCGTGGCCACTGGTGGCCACACCATGGCTGAGCCGAGCCCAGCAGTAACGGATCTGGCTTCTTCTGGACTCTCGAGGGCACTGCAGTGGGGAGCATCAAGACCCAAAGGTTTGTGCAGCACATCCAAGCCTTGTGCGAGACATCCTGGTGCTTCCAGAGAGAGATTAAAGAAAAAAAATGGAATTAAGGAAAAAAAATAGAAAGGAATTGGATTTTGGAGTCCCATGGAAGGCATCCACAGGGCAACGTCCCCGTGATTTATTGGGGCTGTACTGGCAGCACATGCTGTCGTCTGAACACGAAGTCATCCCTGACTATCCTGCCTTGCACACCAAGCGAATTTAGGCTACTATAGACTGTTAAAGACATACCAAGCCTGTTTTCCTCAGATGTTTGTGCTCCTGGTGTCACCTTTGTGAAGGAAGATAAACCACAAGGCGCATGCTTACACCACGGTGCTTTTTTTTTGGGGTGCCTTTCCCTTCCACCATACTCCGAGGCTGAAAACCGGGTAAAGGTGTAATTGCTGTGTAAACGCTGTGCCAAGAGCTGTGTGCTGGCAGCGTCCCTGTTACAGAGGGATAAAAAAAGGGTGGGAAGCATGGAGAATGTGTCGGAAGGCTCCTGATGTTTTTGCTGTTGCTTTCTTGCAGATGACACCAAGCTCAACCAGTACGCAGGGAGCGAAGGTAAGGCCCCGAGCTCCTCTTCAGCTGCTCCCACTCCGTTCCAGGTGGGAACAGGGCACACGGTGCCTCGCTTTTCCTCTCTGTCCTTCCTTTCCCTGAGGTCTCAGCCCGGTCCCAGACCCTGGTTTCTTTTTGCAGGGGTGGGAAGCAGCCTCCCAGCCAAGGCTGCAGGCGCCCCGGTTCACACCGGTACGATCGTGGGCATCATCCTGGCCGTGTTGCTGATCGCAGCCATCATCCTGGCTGGGATTTACATCAACAGCCACCCCACCTCCAACGCCGCCCTGTTCTTCATCGAGGTGAGCAGAGAACCTTTCCCCAGCCCGTTTTCTCTTCCTCTGCCATCAGCCCCAATGCTGCCCTTCCAGAGAAGGGCAACGAGCAGCGAGGAGAGGGGATCTGTGATAGATCTCACGTCCAATTTTCTTTCCGTGCCCCTACAGCCAGAGCCAATCTCCCAATTTCCAGCTGATGATGCTCCAAACTTAGGCTCCCTCCCTCCCCCAGTGCTTTATTTCGCACTCTTTCATCCCCTCCCTTTCACACCTTGCCTTCTCTCCCCGTACAATGTGAGACGTTTCCACCTGCCTCCAGGAGCAGTTGTACACAGAGGGGGCTCAATTACCGGAGCTCTCGGCCTCTAGGATTGCCCAGCTGGATTTTGTTGACTAAAACTCTCAGATTTTGCTGATGGATGTCACGCCATCACCTACGGCGTAAGGCTCTAAATGGAAAAATTTAATTCTCGGAAGGATGGGGGGTGTCCAACAGCCTCCATCTGCTGCTAAAAGCTCAGTACCCGAGCCCCCGGCAGCGTTTGGTGCTTTTTTTTCCTCGCAGCCCCCAGCTGAGGCCGGGCAGTGCCGCTGTCCCCATGCAGGGGGGAGGCACGGAGGGGACGTGTGGTCACAGAGCCAGCCCCAGCCCCCTTGTTCTGGGGCTGAAACGAGCTTTTCCTCCACATTCCCTCTTCCACCCCCTTCCCCATCTCAACCCTACCGCTGGGTGAACTCAGCGCAACCGTAACGCACTCTTTAAAGCACAAAATTATATTTTTCCTTCATTAACAAAAATTTGAGCTTCCACAAAGCCAGCACTATTTTGGGGCTGAGCCACCCGTTACCAGTGGCTCCTGACGGCTCCGTTTTTTTGTGTCTCTCTGCCCACAGCGGAGGCCTCACCGCTGGCCGGCCATGAAGTTCCGCACCCAGGGCCGCCACACGACGTACGCTGAGGTGGAGGCGGCCGGCCACGAGAAGGAGGGCTTCGTGGAGGCAGAGCAGTGCTGAGCGCTGCCTCCCCCCACCCCCACGGCCTCACACCGCCCCGTCCCACGCCTTTGGGGTCCTCCATTACCGCAAAGCCTGGAAAAGGAAGAGCGAAGTAGAGGGAAGCCACCGAGTGGAGCACGAGAGGAAGGAGCCGGGGCCATGCAGGGATGGGAGCTGCTGGGATTCCTCACGGGATGGCGGAGCCTGAAGTGGTGTCAGGATTTTGGGATCTGCCTGGCTCTACGGCCTTTCACGTGTCGGTAGAAAAGAGCGCGGCCCAATTTTTAGCTTGGCTCGGGTTTTTGTCTCCTGGTTGGGTTTTTTGCCCCTCTGTGTGGGGCTGAGCTCTCTGCTCCTCCGCCGGGACTCTGGATGTGGGCCACATCTCAGCAAAGCCCCCAATTTTTCCCCTTTTTGCTGCTCCCCGGCTCTGCCAGCACACAGGGAGGTGAGGCTGGGACAGGCCTGGTGGCGGCTGTAGGCCTGTGAGGCTGGCTCGCCAGGGCTCACCCCTGTCCCATCCCCTCTCCCCCAGCTCCCTTTCTCCTTTGCCTTCTTTTAATTTTTAAATTTTAAAGTTTAAAATTTTAAAGTTTAATTTCAATTTTGGCTTCAGGGCTGAGAAGCCCCCTGGTCTCCTCTTCAGCCCGCACCTCCCTGGCTTCCATTCCCTGCCCTCCTCTCCCGTCCCAGTAACTGCTGCTTCTTCCCCCTGTTCCAGGATTAAGGGAAACCCAATGTATTTTAAGGGCAAAAACCCCGCTGAGGATTCACCGTCAGGATGTTTGTGAGCCACAGGCTCTGATGCACTTTCTCGCATCCAATTAGTTTCCTCAATTACTCACCACAACCTCTACCCTAAAGGACGCAGAGGGTGAAAAAAAATACCTTAGATTCCTTCAAGACACATCTTTGCCTCACAGCTGCTAGGCCAGCAGGCGTGGAGTAGGTTTTAAAGGCAGAGGATGGGGACAGAGCCCGAGCAAAAGCCCCGTTCCCCCATGGGCTACAGCCCGAGGGAAACCCTCCTTCATGGGAGCATCCCCTAAAGAAAACACAACGGCCTTACATGCCCTGATCCACTGAAAATCTGGAAAATGCCTCGTTAACATCATAGTATTCAGAGCCTCGAGTCAGTGGATTTTTTATTTTTTATTTTTTATTGCGTCTGTGATAGGCCCTGGTCTGCATTGGTAGCGATACTGTGAGTCCAGAATCTGACCCTACCTAAGGGCTTCAGCACCAGACCTCTCAGGGTTGTTCTGCTCCTTCTGTGCAATCAAATCCAAAACCAGTCTGCAGAAATGCTTATCCTACTTCCACAGCCCCCAGCCAGAGCAGGACTGGTCCCTAAGCTGAGGACAGATGGTATGAAAAAAGGCAGAGTCCAAAGTCCAGTGTCAGGTAAAGTTTTGTTTTTTTTTTTTTTTTTTTCACCCATCAAAAACAGGTGTTGGTTGTATGGGCTTTTTTTTTTTTTTTTTTTTTTTTCTTCCCTCTTGATCCTCAGTTATTTATTCTGATATCATCTTTGGTGCATATTTTATCCACTGGCTGGTTCAGCTGTCACTGGTGGTGATTACTGCCAAAGGCAGGGTCTGTCTAATTAATGTCTTCCTTCTCATCTGCTGAATTTATATAGCCATTAAAGATAAATATGGATGCTTTGTGGCATTTAGACCCCAGATTATACTTTCTCATATGTAGCCACTAGGGAGGCTTTTGCTGCATCTTATTATGGCGTAAAGGCACCGAAACGCTCTGACAGGGTAAGTCAGACCGAGCTGTGCCAAGCTGTTATGACCCAGACAGTCTCTCCTTAGATGTATTTTGAAGATAAACCTTATCCCCAAATAAAGCTTTCAACTGGAAAGTAGTTTTTTTTTTTTTTTTCTTTTTTTCTCTGTTTACCTGAAGAACTCAAAGGAATGCTGTCTTTTTTTTTTTTGCCCTGGATCTGATCTTTGAAACGGTTATAAGCTGGCAAGGACTTTTCTCTGGATTTCTATCTTTTCAAAAAATGGCTTTGTTTTTCCTCTTTTTCTTGACGTGCATACACAATAACAGCAAGATTTTTAGGTACTCCTCTTCTTCTACAGCCCCCAGAAATGCTAGGTAACATCCAACACGTCTGAAACGCTGCAAATTGACAAGAAAACAGACTTTATATAGGAATTGAGCTGTATAAATCACTGCTGCGTTACTAGGGCCAGAATCTTAAAAAGAATTCAAAACAGGATCAGATCCTCAGGTGGAGGAAAACAACATCCAAGTGCCCTAGCACAGAAATGGCTGAGATGCATACAATATAACAGAGGACAGATGCCAAATTTGGAGTGCCTGGAGTCAGAAAGGCTTTTTTTTATTATTATTATTTTTCCTTTTTTTTTTTTTTTTTTTTCCTTGACACAAAGGAACAAAACAAAGCAGGTTCTTCTGTAGCTGTTCAGTAGATGTTTGTCCTACCTTCTCCTGAGGAGTGTGGTTGGGGGTAGTGTCAGGTTAGCAGCTCCCATTGATCCCCAGTTGAGGTTCGTGCCCCAAGCTGGATCCAGTCTGGATCCCCCAGTCCAGGCTGCGTAACTGGGCAGTGCTCAGCTCCCCCTGCCTGCCCTGGAAAAGCAAGGCACTTGTGTCTCAAGGAGGAAGGAAAAATAAAATAAATGTGTCCTACCTCTCATGAGGCCTGGCTCTGGGCACAAGAGCTGGGAACCACCTCTTCCACCTTTTCCATGCTCGCATCCTTGTAGTTGAAGAGGCGGTCTATTAAATTCCAGAAAACCCAACTGTAGTGGTGCTGATGCCTAGAAGAAAAAGGAATAAAATGTCCTCATCACCACGAAGAGCTGCTCTGCTGTCAAAGGAAACAGGAGAGCAGCACCAAGCCAAGCACACCCGGATCACCACCCCTCTCCTACCTGCACAGCTCCGATTTCAGGATGCCGGCTCATCTCGCTAGTCCCAAGGGCCAAAGCAGGAACACGATGGTGACAACTACGCCATCAAAAGGTTTTGGTTTTCCTTTCACTCACGGGGCTTCTCCAGCCGTGTCCTGAGGCTTTCCTCTGGATTCCAGGGCTCCCAGCACTGGAGCTTCGAAGCAGACTGTGACGTACCCGTGTCCATGGAGCTGTTTTATTGCTGTCGTGGGCTGGGGCTGTCAAACACAACCAGCTGCTGCCCCCCCGCTCGTCTTCCCAAAACATGGTCCCTTGCAGCTCAGGCAAGGCTGTCATCGGGCAGAAAGCGACGTCGCGGGGGGGTCCTCGGCCGCTCAGCAGCTGTGAAAACACACCAGGGGCTTCGGCACCAAGCCATGTCCTGCTTCTGCTCCCACTAGAGCTGGGGCATCAACACATCAAAACGTTTTTGGCATTGATGGGAGCAGGACCCAGATCAAAAAAATTTTCTCCCACTAAGTAAAAGCCTACTTTCCACATACTTGAATTTACAGCACAGTCGGACTGTTTGGGGGGACTACAGGCACTTTAACTGTCTTTTAATGCAATGTATTTACTATGGATAATCTGCATGGAATACAGTCTTAATATTAAAAAAAAAAAAATCTTCCTTTTTGGACTGCTTTGTTTTCAAAATAAAACGTGCAGAGGATTGCTGGTCATGTTATGCAAACTTCTAAGCACAGTGGGGATTATTTTCACCTTGCATGCTTTTAATGGCCACTGTAAGTGTGCACAGATCTTTTTTAAAGCCATCCTTTGCTGGCTCAGTAATAACACATCTTATCAGGAGGTGTTCCCAGGACAGATCCAGGATAAAAAACTAACGTAATTGAGGCTTGAATCAAGACTATAATCTTCTTCTAATTTTATCTGCTCGGCTTATTTAGAATTTTAGCAGGCTTTTTCAATTTGAGCAATGAAATTTATTTTTTCCATTTGACTTTCTGACAGCAGCTAAGGGTTTGGATCTCTGCCTGAGTCCCAAATTACTCCACACGTGCTCATTCCTGCCTCCTGGTGTAGGCTCCATCACTATGGTCCGTTAGAAGTATGAACAGGTCAGCATGACAAAGTACCTGAGAGGAGGTTATGAGCCGTAGGAAAAGGCCCCTCTTGCACTTAGCTATGGATATCCAAAGATTAATTCCAGTGGGGGCTTTGATAGCCCCGCTTCCAGCTGTATTGCACCTTGATAAGGGCAGAGCCAGAGCTAAAGGCATCATTTCCTAAGCAACTTTGTCCTTCAGAAGCAAACGTCACCCTTTTTTGCACCCCCCCTTTCAATGGCTATGACCATATCACAGTATTGGTAAAGGAGCAATATATTTGCTGCTCCTCTGCTTTCCTTTCACCTTCCCAAGCCCCTCGCATCCTGATCATCCCCTCCCATCCTGATCATCCCCTCCTCTCCCGGAGTCTTTCCCAGGTTTGGGAGAAACGATGCTACCACAATACAGCTCCAAGTGAATTTAAACATGATCACATAATTCTACCGTCCCAGTTCTACTTATTTTTCTGAGCAGACAAGTAGGAGATATATAATTAGAATGTATATGATATATATGTAAAGCAAATACTTCATAGTGTCTAAATAAGCAAAAATGTAAAAAAGTCAGCTTTCATGAACAAGTAGTTTTTATAACAAGCATAATCCCTGAAACAGGTTAAAATAGACTTTATGCAAATAAACAAGGGGCTGTGTCCTGGAAATGCAACTGCAACCTCAGGTCCACCAGCACGCTGAACGTAATTAATAGCTCTGAAAGCAAGCAGGGAGCAGATTGCTACAAAAGGGCCTGTGGGTGGTGGAAGAAAACCTCAAATAGATGCACTGCTCCGAATCTGCATTTTACAAGTGCTGCAGAATTAAGCTTTAGTTACAACTGGGAACAGGGAATTAGGGCTCCCAAAATCCTTCCCTGGATCTATGTTAAACATCGTTATGCCTTGGGTTTCCTCATCTAGAAAGGAGGGGTGGGAGTAATTTTCTTTCTCACACACAAATTGTAAGTCTGCTAATATTTGTAAAATACTTACAGCTGCTCAGGGGAAAGGCGTTTTCAAGGGAAAAAAAAATAAAAAATACTTGTAGGTGACAGCGAGCAGCACACCCGTGTCCATCTCAGGAGCTGGTTGGGTCGTCCCTTACCTCGCACTCAGTGGGAGCTGCGAGTTTGGCGGTCGTGCTGGGCTTTTCATTACCTTTGGGAGAGGATTTTATAGTCTGCACAGAAGACATTTCCCTCTACTGGGTGCAAGAGACAGGTTTTGTTGTGCCCAGCCGTGGCACGCCGCTGTTTTCCGTAGCAGAGGCTCACCCTCAGCTGATGGGCTGACTCCGAGGAGGCAGAAAACGCCTCCACGTTCCCATCCAGCTACCCACAGAGGATCCCACAATTTTCAGCTTTTCCCTTCAGCTTTTCCCACAATTTCCTCATCACAAAGGAGTGAAGAAGAACCTGGCAGCCCAATTTATAGGCTGTAAAACATCCAAAGGATGGGCCTTATTTTTTCTTTTCCTTTTTACACCTCAGACCCTGATTGTTCACCAAGTCGGTCAGAGCAGGCAGCAGACTGTCTTTTTCCTCAGAAAACCTGACCTACGTTTTGTTGACGCCCCCCCAATTTGAAGTCAAAGTCACAAAAATCGGGTGGTTTTGTTACCTTGAGAATAAACCTGACAATCTTCAGCACGTGCTGGCGGAAGGCACGTTGAGCCCTTTTCCTCTGCACAAAATGCGTCACTAATAGCACGCCAGGGCTGCTTTGGTAAAGAAAAAAGAAAGCCTTTTAAATGATTTTTTTTACTTTAAGTAGTGAAAAGAGCAGGTTTGCTATTCTCTTAAGAATAATGGTGGGCTCCATGCCCCATGGCAAGCTGCGTGCTAGTACCTGCTGGCTGCCTGCTGCTGAGGGTTGGTGCAGCCTCTCCACCTCTCCGTACGAGGTTTTGTAACACCACCGGCACACAGACCCCTAGAACAATAAGCAAACCCACGGGGAGACTCTCTCACCTCTTCCCCTGCTGCTCCCTGACACAGGTGGGGGGAACTCGAATGCTCTGCAACGCTGAAGAGCGTTTGCATCTGATTTCGTGTGAACTTGGGTCTGTGGAGAGTCGGGAAGCTTTCATCAAACAGATGTGAGACAGACGGGGTGAGTGGAGGAGGTGTTGAGAAATAATTTCTCTTCCCCTTATTAGGCGTTCCTAACCCAAAGATCTTTCAGGAATTAAGCTTTTTTTTAAACCTCTAAAATGAAAACAAAATGTTAAGCATGAAGATTAACATGTTGGCATTTGTAGGATTTGGTATTTAATAAAGTAAATAATAAACAGTTAATCACCAAAGAGGCTGCCTTCTTGTAAACCTACATGCACATTTCCCCCTCTGCCACAAAAAATACTCCATCAGTGATTATTATACTTTTGTTAATTGTTTCACCCAGAAAGGTACCAGATTTCTGCCCCAGTAACGGTAAGGTGGCAGCCTTCTGCTCAGCGAAACGCGGACTCAGAGGTGGAGCACAGCAGCACTAATTGCACAGAGGGAGGAGACGATAATTTCATGTGGCAGTGACAGCAAATCTTCAGTGAAGACCAGGCCTAGGTGTGCAAAATGTAATTTTCCAGTATAAGGAGGAAAATTTGGGATTCACAGTCTGATTCTGGGTTAGGAAAAACATCTCTGCTCGCTAAGAGCCAGTAAGTAGGGTCTCAGTTTTGCATTTCCAGGGAAAGGATGAGAGCGAACCATCCTCCCAGCACCGTCCTACGACGACGAAGTGAAGCGAGTTGTCTGAGATGCCCTCCAGACCCCAGGCCAGCACTTTGTAAGGACAAAAGCAAAGGCTGCTCCTGGCTGATCCCATCCCCAGCTTCTCACAGAGCTGCAGGAACAGCTGCTACCACAGA